CAGCTGGGTGGGAGTCATAACTCACCTCACAGGAAGCAGCGTCCGACTGACTTCAAACTTTCAGTAAAGCCTTTTGAGGCATCCGTGCTGAGTTAAAACCAACGTTGTCTGGAGGCTCTTCCTGGCCGCAGACTGATATGAGTTTGGGCTGAAGTCAGCACTGAAGTGGGAATGGGGCGTCATGCTTCTGTACTGCAGCCAAATCTGTTGGCCGCTATTGATATCCCATTTCCTCTTGTCGATCCTAAGCTGCTTTGCATTCAAAGGCTTTGCACTAAGCCCACAGTGTCCATCCTGTCATATACTGTGCTGCTCCACAACAATCATCCACTCTTTTTATTATCCAGGAAACAAAAGCAGAGCGAAACCACACTGGGAGCCTCCCATCCCTGACATTTTAATTGTCTCCCTCATATATTAGGTGGGATGCGAACCAATTTGCCCATTGCCGTTAAATTCCTCACGCGGTAATTCCTCTTTAGAAGCCGAAATAATGGGTTTTAGAGTTGGCAGGAGATTGGAGGGAAAGAGGATCAAACATCGCAAAGAAGACCGTTTTTTTTTTTTTTTTTGTGGCTAATAATTAAAAACCTCCTGTTGAGCTTATCACATATTGAGCAGCAGGAGCTATAGTGCTGAGTTATGGGCTATCTGCTAAAAAAAGGTTCTCTCAAGCGTGTTTGATATGTTTACATTTCTAGCTTGCGTACTTTAAATCGATAGCAAAAAAGCTGCAGAAATCCCAATTGGCAGTTCAAATTCTGTATATTATTCACATCCTCATGCTTCCAGTATCACTGCTTTCATACTGTATCTCTCATTGGCCTGGGAGTGTGTGTTGTGTTAGCGTTTGAGGGGAAAGTGTTTGAGTCTCTGCCTCGGGGGAAGCTGCGGTTTGTTCAGTAATCAGAAAGCATACGCAAGCACTCTAAGACAATGTCACATGCCCTGGAGTCAGAATGTGTTTGATGAATATAATATATTCCCACCCTCAGACATAGAAAGCAATTATTCCCATTATCTATTTCTTTTTTGCTGTTTTTTTTCCTGAATGATACTCACAGGTAACGCCTCGCTTTCAATTACCACATCATAACGCTCTACACGAAACGTCCCGACAGCTTTGCTTAAACCAGCAGCGGGTAGTGGAGGCTGCATCCTGTTCCCCTCCGCCAATCATTAAGTGTGTAATATTAAAACAGGCGCGGGGGGAATGTAACACGTCAACGGTGAGAATATGATTTATTTACCTTCAGGTGTGTCTGCCCTCCATGCTCATGTTCCTCCGATGCAGCAGAGACAGCAGACATCGCAGTCTATTAAACCACCCTGCTTTGTGTTGTTTTCCTCCAAGCCTTCATCACACACACACACACACACACACACACACACACACACACACACACACACACACACACACACACACACACACACACAGTCATCCACCCCCCCGCGAGCAAGGTCACTCCAGGCTGCACTGATGACTGCAATCAATTATGTGGTGCAGTGTTAAACGACACTGAAACTCCCACATCTCTGTAGCCTTTTCAGCGGACGCTCCATCTTTTGGAGGTCGTTTGATTGTGCACGTGATTGTAAGAGTCTGTCAAACAAGCAGAAATACTGCGCTATAATCAAATCTGTTATTGATTTGTAAAGTGTGATGACAAGGTGCTGATTTTGATTTTCCACAACACCAATTGTACAGAGTAAATAATACTTAATCAAGTTAAAAGAGTTCTAATGTATAACGTTGTGTTTTTATGAATAGATACAAACGTGTGTACCGCTCAAACTTCTTCCAACTTTGACATTGATTGCTCCTGACCTTTAGACTTGCTACCAATCAGATGACAGCTAGCAGGGGAGGTAACCATACAAAAAGGAAACTAGCTAGTAGCTGTTATCATAGCATGGCTCTGAGCCCAACATCAATGTGAGCAAAGACAACGTTTTTTTTGTATTTCAACACCACCAACACACTGTAGAGAAGTTATCTATCAATATTCAGAAGGGATCATTTTGTTGGTTGGAGCTACATGCAGTGAAATCCAAAAGTTCAGTATCTTTTAACTTTGACTACTTGCTAAAGTTAATTTAGATTTTAATATGTCTGTTGCAATTCTCCCAAATGTATGGAAGTGCGACGGTTAGCTGCCGAGTACCTTCATAACCGATTCATCATTTTGTCAATAACACGTCAGAAGTAATGAAAATACCCAGCACAATTTCCCATCACAAAGCCCAAGGTGATGTCTTAAAATTGCTTTTTTTGTCTGATCAACAGTCCAATCCCCAAAGATATGCAGTTTGCAGTGCCATATGACAAAAAAAGCAGAATGTCCTCACATTTAAAGGTTGGCAATTTTGGTTTGAAAACTGTTACATATTAAATAGATGTTATGTCCATCAGTATTAAACAGGGCCCCTGAATGATCCAAGTTGTTCTTCCCCTAGTCAGCCCATTTTAAATCCATTAAGCACTGAGCAACTCTCCCTGGCTCCGCCTCCTATGCGTTACCAAGTTCTCTTTACTCATCCGTGGGCTCATTTCCTGTTGGCTTGCTCTCAGGCTTCAGTGACCTTTCAGGAAGTGTATAACTGTTTGACCAGAAGTATTATAAGAGCAGCCCTCCTCCACACAAAGCAGTGTTCACAAAGAGTCTGGGATCCGTGTGGGGGGGGGGAGCAGCACAGTATGAGGGCTGCTAAATTGACTTCCCAGGAGGGGGGGGGGTTACATTCAAAACACTTTAGCAGTTGGAGCCAGCGTACAGCAGACTGCATTCCTCCCCTTACATGTCCTACCACTGTGCTGTCATGACAACCAGTTCAGATTATTAGCATTAAACCCTGTGAATGGGTGTTAATCATAATTGTTATAATTGTGCTTTTCGGTTTTTTTTCACACGCCAATGCCTTACTTTGCTGCAATATGGTATTTAGGAGTTAGCATTTAATCAGCGTGTCTTACTGCTTTTTTATTAGCAGGGTAGTTATTATTATGACCTCCAGTAGGAGTAATTAAATCATTTTCTGTATGACACTAAGAGAAGATACTACAAGTGTTAAACTAATGGGTCACAATAAAACTCCACCAGTTGAATTAAGACATATTTTTGTAATAAATGTTGTGTCTAAATATGAAAGTAAGGCATTATCTGATTAAATATGTACCTTAAAGCTGTGTATGTGTTTTAAACTATTATGTTATATTAAAGTAGAAACACTCATATGGTGCGTTGTTGCCTCTGGTACAGTTTAGTTTAATCATGTTAACGCAGACAACATACGGTTCCAAGTCATTTTTGACTGAATAAGCACGATGTGTGGTCTGCTTCAGCTTCTAAATTAACATTACTCGATGCTAATTTAAAAAATATGATCCCATGCTCAGCTGTTCTTGAGAGATACACTCCGCTGATGACACGACAGCGTGACAGGAAACTTTTCAATTTGCTCGGAGAGGAAGTTAGGGTCTACAGGTTTCGTGAGGTGCATGGCCAAACCAGGATGTAGGTTATCCTAGGCTACAGAAAAGGTGAGCGTGCAGTAGTTCTGCAGGATTATAAGACCAATTGAACCTCCTCGGGACACAGCGGAGGTGAAGCAAGCTGGTCTGCAAACAGGATGAGGGTAAGCGAGGTAAAGGAATGAGAGGAGAAGTGGAGATTGAGTGATGGTGAGAGAAACTGTCAATAAGTTAAAGGCAAGCTGTGATGAGGGAGAGAGGAAATGACACGGAGGAAAGTGAAGGCAACATGGGGATTAAAAATGAAAAACTTGAAGTAAGACGAAATAAGAAGGATAGAGAGTGAGATAAAAACAAATGAGGGAGGTGGAGGCAGTGAGACACATAAAAATGGATCTAGCACGCGCTGAAGTGGAGAAGGAGGGAGTGATGGAGAGGGAGGAGGAGGTGTGGAAAAGCAGCCATGATGAGATGGATTCTACTGGACCATGAGATTGATGACTCTGCTTCAGAAGGAGAGGGAGAGGGAAGAGATAGGGGAGACGGCTGGGGAGGAATAAGAGAAAAGCCCCTGATGAAAAGAACCAACGCAAGACACCACCAAATCTGGAGTCTGATCAAAAAGAAAGAGCCGGTTTTATCTCAGCCCTTCCATCTTTAAGCATTTCTGTATCTCTAATAGGATCTTCTCTGTTCATCATCAGTTATGCATTGCAAGAAAAAGAAATCCCCAGAATAAAAACACATGAAAAGAGATTATGTCTGAAGCAAATACAAGTCTTGAAAAGAAGGATTTGGATTTAGTTTGGCTCTCAGACGTCATGCGAACTGATCATCCATAACAAGCATTTTAAATCCATATTTAGAGTTTAAACTCATCCGCTCATGGCCTGTCAGTGTTTCCAATTAGAGCGCTGATTCCAGAAGTTTCTCCACACACAGCAGGGCCTGTCCAGCTCACAACAGAGGAGCTCATAACAACGGGAAATATGCAAAGTCCACATGCCAGGTTGAGTCTGACATTCAGGTATTGGAGAACACCAGAGGGAAGAGAGAAAGTGGATGTTAATCTTCCCCCATGAGAACTCTTCACTTCCACCTTCTCTGCCTTCATCCTCCCTCTCTGTCTCCGCCCTCTGATTTGCCGCCTGTTTCTGGTCCAGGGGGGACGCCAGGGAGATAAACAGCGTTTGCTAGCAGCACGTGGTGGAAGCTGAGGCTGAGCAGGCCTTATGAATGAGAGAGTTTGCCGGGATATTCACTTTCTTCACAGCTCGTATCATAGGCCCTGATGGAACGATAGGGTAACTGGCCGTGGCACAGAGCCGCCAGTGGACTGATGTTATTGGTTGTAATGAATAGCGAATAGAAAATATTGTTAGATATGTCACAAGCCTTGCTATAAATGCCTTTTCATAACAACAACACATGTTAGACGTTACACCGTTATGCTTATCGAGCTGCTTCAGCTTTATAATGTTGTTATGATGTATGTCACTGACTGTTTTGTCTTCTTATCTTTTTTTAGGCGCTGTCACGGAGAGCGTTTGTGCGAGCTGCGATGGGACACAGTGAGGCTGTGGACGTGATAAGAGATCTCTGCACTGCTGCTTTTCAATCACAGCCCCGACACTAGACAGAAGAAAATTCCATTATCCACGATTAATGTCAGCCGTGTTGCGGAGGCAGCCTCAAGCTGCACCGCCAGATCTGAGACAACTCATGGAGGCGTGGCCTCAACGTTTCCATCGCTGCTGCCACTGACTCCAGCCCAGTGAACAGCGATGCCTTCTAAAGTCTCCTGCTTATACTTGCTGACGGTGGTTTGCTGGGCCAGCGCTCTGTGGTACCTGAGTGTGTCCCGCCCCTCCACCTCCTACGTGGGCCAGGTGGCTATCCCTATAAACCCAAAGGCGGGCAAAAACGGCACTTTCACAAACATCCGCACGCGCTCGCTCAACCCGCACGACTTCGACTACCTCATTAACGAGGAGAAGAAGTGCGAGGCGGAGCCGCCCTACCTGGTCATCCTCATCAGCACCACCCACAAGGAGTTTGACGCCCGGCAGGCTATAAGGGAGACATGGGGGGACGAGAGCTCGCTCGCCGACATGCGAGTGGTCACGCTCTTCTTGTTGGGACGCAGCACTGATGGTGTCCTCAACCAGATGGTGGAGCAGGAGAGTCAGATCTTTCATGACATCGTGGTGGAGGATTTTATCGACTCCTACCACAATCTGACGCTAAAGACGCTGATGGGCATGCGCTGGGTGGCCACCTTTTGTTCCAAGGCTCAATATGTCCTCAAGACGGACAGCGACATCTTTGTCAACATGGAGAACCTTGTCTTCAACCTCCTGAAGCCCACCACCAAGCCCAGGAGGAGGTACTTCACTGGCTACGTCATCAACGGCGGTCCCATCAGAGACATGCGCAGCAAGTGGTACATGGGCAGGGATCTGTACCCGGACAGCAAGTACCCCCCCTTCTGCTCCGGCACCGGATACGTGTTCTCCGCTGACGTGGCGGAGCTCATTTACCAAACCTCTTTACACACCAGGCTGCTGCACCTGGAGGACGTATACGTGGGCGTGTGCCTCCGAAAGCTGGGCATCCACCCCTTCCAGAACAGCGGCTTCAACCACTGGAAGATGGCCTACAGCCTGTGCCGCTACCGCCGGGTGGTCACCGTCCACCAGATCTCCCCCGAGGAGATGCACCGCATATGGAACGACATGACCAGCAAGAAACACCTGAAGTGTTAGCAGGGAGAGCCAGGGAGGAAACGAATGTTCCTTCATCACCTGCTCCTCCATCATCGACAGCGACAAATACTTCAACTGACTGCTGGAGTATTGATGGGGCGTCCGGGGCTTTGTCCGGGGGCTGATTGCTTTACGAGGAATTTCTATAGCTCAAAGCCACTCTTCTAACAAAAGAGGCACAAAGCCTGACACATGTTTATCAAGAAGAGTGCAACATGTCCAGGTGGTTGGTTGTCGTTGCCAGCAGCACTATGATGTTTATGGGAAACAGGAAGCGTATGGGCTGAACTACTCATAGAAACTTTCCCCAATTACATAAATGCCAACGTTGATTGCAGACATTCGCCTGTTGTGTTGAGCACAGGCTCTACTTATGAATGTTCTCATGTATTTTCAGTTGTTGTGCTTTCTGAATGTTGGATGTCGACATCGTGAGGACCGTGGTGAGTTTAAAGTGGTATTAAAGACTCTGAGAAAGCAGCTCCTATGTAATATTCCTTTCAGAATCAGACATATTTTCTTACAGAACATCCACACAACCTTGTGAAAAGGTTTCCGGACAGTGTGAAGAAACTCTGCTGCTTGCATTCCCCAGGTGAATGTTACTCTGTTGGTGTGTAATGTGCAGTTATTCGTCACAAACAGTGCTGAGCAATGCTGCAGACTATTCTATTTTCTATGACTTGAATATAAAGATGTACTGTTAGAGCGGCGAGGACAGATGAGTGCTTTTCTTCTTTTCAATTACTTGAGATCAAATAAAGTGCTTTTATAAGACTGGATGTTGTATTTATTACAGAAACAGCATACAAGTGGATTCTGCTGCATGCATATAAGGAAAGTAAATTACGCTTAGAGGTGCTTGGTATACGGCTGTTGGAGAACACGTGGCGTCTCATCAGTCCTGCTGTTCCCTGAATGCAGCTGCTCGGCGTGAAGAGCGCTGAGGAAACATGGAGGCCGTGCTCTCCTTCCTGGAGGCGTGTGTAAGTGGAGTACAGATTGTAAAATGTAAATCAAATGTAGCATCTGTGTAATTGGCAGCTGAGTGGCTGTTTTCTACCTTAATGTCTTAATGGGAGGAATGACCTCAGGCGAGTGGATTTCTATACTCAGATATAGCGCTCAAACTTTTGTTTTCAAATACTATTTCAAAAAAAAATGCTGTGGTGCCACAAAATGCAAATTAAAGTGCGCATATTTTCAGTAGAGAGTGACTCTAGAAGGCTGTTTTAACATTCATCTGCTGAAAGGAAGGTGCAAAGAGTGTTTGAAAGGTAATTCACATTTATTTAGCAACAAGTTTAATATTGTTAGACGCATCAGGGCTGTACAATGAATCCAAATTGTATCGAAATCCGCAATATGTACTAGTGCAGAGATATCTGGGAAGAAAAACTCATATAAAAATGCCTGTAATTCTCATAATTACATAAATATCAAATGTAACTTAACGTCATTAACTCTCATTCTTCTCTGAAATCATTCATCATCAAGAGCTGTCAAAAAAGTATCATTTTTTATCTTGATTTGTGTTTTTGTGTTTGTCCTCATTTGAGACAAATCTGCACATTAATGCACTGTAATTATGTTCCAGCCTCGTGTGTGTGTGTGTGTGTGTGTGTGTGTGTGTGTGTGTGTGTGTGTGTGTGTGTGTGTGTGTGTGTGTGTGTGTGTGTGTGTGTGTGTGTGTGTGTGTGTGTGTGTGTGTGTGTCTTTAATTAAATCAATGTTACTAGTATGGCATTAAGCTAGTGCTTGAATAAGACATTTTTTAAAAAACGGGAGTTGTACTACATTTGTTGAACTCTTTGTTCCAGGCATCACGATGATCTGAGGGAGCAGCAACACTCCTTCGGGATTTGTCGCTGCAGAAATGAGAAATGTCTTCTGTTCTTTCCCTTCCAAAGATAAACAGGAGAATGTGGGAAGCACTTGTGGCTCGCCCCTCAAACACTTATTCTCAAAATCTTGTGGGAGCTTGTAGGCAGAAAACACATCATTGCTGTTATGATTTCCCTCATAATAAAACTATTCCCGGGCGAAATCTTTACGTCAAATACGTCTTTTGAACTGTTATGAGAACAGTTTGGGAAAATAGGGTATAATTGAACCCGATGTATTCCAGTTTATCAGCATTTGTTCTTTAGGTGTAATGTGCAGGGTGGAGAGCAGCCCCAGTATGTTATCAGTTAATGACTTGACTTCAAAAATAGCCTTCCCAGTAGCACGCATGTGAAGTAATTGTTATTCACAGCTTCTCATCCTCACTGCTGCTGTGTTTTGCATTCCTTCTGATCGCCCCCCATGGCACATGCAGTTTGATACAATATGCTGAGTAATAGAACGTCTGCTCTGTAATTGGCCAAACAAGCCAGTGGTGGAGCGTTTAAAAAGGCTAAAGCTTGGGGAAAATGAAAAGCGAGTGATTATTCCGGGGCTTGGGGTAAATGAACCCCGTAACGAGCGAGGCGGAGCGCGAGACAATTGGGAACACTCACATTTCTAAACAAAGCGTTGGAAGGCGGGCCTGTGGAGCCTGGAGTAGAAACCATTACTGCACAGATAGACCTCGCTGTGGCATTACTGTACATAGTTAGATGATGCTACGGCTGGAGGGTGTTCCTTAATGCTGCATAATCCGCCGCTGATACATATTCATATTCCTATGCATGTTCTTCTTCCCTAAATATGTTCTCCTCTGCCTTTGATCCAGCTCGACCTCCTCGTGACCCGGGCTTTGAGGCACAGGGGACGCAGGAACATAGCTGTGGAATAAATTGGCTCTATGCAATCTGCCATCTGTGCAGGCGCACATTACCAAGGTGAGAGGAAGGGGCTCAAAGAGAGCAGGTTGAACATCCTCCTCTTCCTCCTGGAGATGATGCAGCTTAACTCAAATTATAATAACCACTGAAGGGTCGAGGGGTTTGGCTTTAACTGGGCCTGAAGTGTTTTTCGATCTACTATATGTTCATTTCTTACTTGATAACTGATTCAATCAATCAATCAATCAATCAATGTTTATTTATATAACCCAATATCACAAATGTTACATTTGTCTCAGTGGACTTCACAGTTTGTACAGAATATCAGTATGACAATACGACACCCTCTGT